CTGAGAACAGTGTTGATGGACCTAGGCTATCAATAAAGGTTTGTTGAATGAATGAAATGAGCTTTAATTTGGCCATTTTAATAAAGTTAGAGCACAAGTGCACTTGTTTTCCCAACTTAAAGAATGAATTCAGTATACTTTTAATGGTTTTATAACATTACAGATACCTTTTTCTCTTCTCAGAAATCTCGGGAGCAGGGTAGTGAAGGCCTTGCTCTACCACCTCTCCTAGACTAACCTTATGCTTCGGGACACTACGGAGCAAAAGGTCCCTGCCAGCTCTCAGGGGAATTGCTGTAGTCAGTCAACCCTTAAAGTCGCTTTCCTGCTAATCTGCCTCTTCCTTCTAAGAGATTTCCTTTCTCTGGGGAATGCACTGGACTGTGAAATCAGGGATGATAACAAAGAGAGAAACCTTGTCCTCCACTCACCTCTTTCCAGCACTGATTCATGATCTGGTAGACATTCGGGGAGGCCAGCCGAGGCTTGTACAACCGAAATCCAGTACTGATGTCTTCCACCACCTCAGAGTTGCTTCGGTTCTCATATGGGATTTTGCCTTCACTGAAGACTTCCCACATCAGCACGCCTGTGAGAGATAGTGAGCGCAGTACTGTTAAAGTTCACAGGCAGCAAACAAACTCACTCTAGAAATCACTAACTCCATGTCCTTAGGACTTGAGCTCTAATCCCTGTGAAGCCATCTGACACTGATACTGATGAGGTCTGTCATGTTCCTTAAAGATTGGGACATCCCAGCCTTGTGAGGGGCTAAGACTGGTGAAGATCAAATTTTGTTATCCCTAACTAGAGAGCTCAGGCTTAAAAACTGTCAAGGAAATAAACTCAAATGCCTATAAAGATTATAAAGATGAACGAAGTAGAAAACTATTGAACTGGTGAGGGAGTGAAGGGAGTGTAGCCAGCTGCAGAACAAACGGTCTATTTTAAGACAGCTGTGATTTGCCTCCAGCCAATTTGTGGTACATGGAATGAAGAGGAAAGTTGCCACTTTTTTAATTTTTTTAACCAAAGTCAGAAATTGAGTTTTAAAAAATATCAACTTAAAATTTCTGCCATTAATTTGCCTTAGAAAATATTGTATAGACTGGACAAAACATAACTTTGGGTTGTCCATTTTTTTATGTAAACCAGTATAAAATAAAAATTTTATTTACAAAAAAGAAATTGGAGGAAAAAGAATATGCAAGATGAATAAGAAATCAAAAAAAGAAAAGAGCTCAATAAGTGAAAAAAAAATACAGAAAACCAGTATTGGTTTCTGGTTCTAAGACTCATTGATAGCATCTGTCCTTTGACACTCACACTTAATTTTAAAGATGTAATGTTTCCTTGTTCTCTTCACACAATAGCCACTTTGTCTAGTTATAGGTTTCACATGAGCACAACTAAAGTGTTCTGGGATTCCCATTCTCCTCAATGTTAGCCATAACTTGTTATGATCCACACAGTCAAATGTCTTTGCATTGTCAATAAAGCATAAATAGACATTCTTCTGGTATTCTTTACATTCAGCCAGGATCCATCTGACATCAGCGATGATATCCCTGGTGCCAAATCCTTTTCTAAATCCTTTTGAACTTCTGGCAGTTCTCTAAGTTCTGTTCTAGTAAGTGTTTTTCATGATCTGCAGTAGTATTTTGCTTTCATGTGATATTAATTCTATTATTCAATGGTTTAAATTTACATCATTTAAAATAAAGAAAGATGTGTGTTAGGATTATATTCTCTTTTCATATCATACTTATTCAATCTGTATGCTGTGCAAATCATTCAAGAAGCTGGACTCTATGCGGAAGAAGGTGACATCAGAATTGGAGGAAGAACCATCAACAACCTGCATTATGCAGATGACACAACCCTGCCCTCCAAATATGAGGAGGACCTGAAGCACTTGCTGCAGAAGACCAAAGAATACAGCATTCAATATGGATTGCATCTCAATGTCAAGAGAACGAAAATCCTTTAACACTAGGCCAATAGGTAACGTCCTGATTGAGGTAGAAAAGATTAAAGTTGTCAATGGCTTCATCCTACTTGGACAATCAACACCCTTAGCACCAACAGTCAGGAAATCAGGAGATGTTATTTCACTACGTACTCTGCACTTTCAGTCAAGATCCATTTATAATGTTGGCTATGATGTTCCCAGAGCCACAGCCTCTTCCAAACCCAGGCTGCACATCTGGCAGTTCTGGTCATTTCTGGATCATTTTCAGCAGGATCCGGCCTGTGTGTGCTATTGGTGATATTGTTTGATAATTTCCACACTCCGTTGGGTCATCTTTTTTTTTGGAATGAGAACAAATACAGATCTCTTCCAGGTAGTTGGCTAGGTAGTTGTCCTCCAAATTCTTTGGCATAACCTGGAGAATGTTTAAGGGAAGCAGGTGTTTGCTAAAATATGTCAACTTGTATTCCATCAATTCCTGGGACCTTGTTTTTTGCCCAGTTTCTACAGAGAAGCTTGTACTTCCTCCTTCATCACCATAGGCTCTTGGTCATATGTTGTTTGATGAAGTTCTTCTATGTCAGCCCATTATTTTTGGTATAGTGCCTTTGTGCACTCTTTTCATCTTGTTTTGATGCTTCCTGAGTCATTTAACATTCTGCCCACAGCATCCTTAAGTATTGCAACTCAAGGCTTGACGTTTGTTTTTCAGTTCCCTCAGCTTAAGATGAGCAAGTTTATCCCTCTTGATTTTCCAACTCTAGCTCTGTGCATTTCATTATAATACTTTGTTTTGTCTTGAAGAGGGCATGGGGCATTTGCTGCAGAAGGTCAAGGATTGTAGCCTTCAACATAGATTAAAGCTCAACATCAAGAAAACAAAGATTCTCCCTACTGGGCGAATTGGCAGCCTCATCATGGATGGAGAAAAGAATGAGATTGTCAATAACTTTAGTTTGCTTGGTTCCACAATCAACACGTGGCAGTAGTTAGGAAATCAAAAGATTGATTGTACTGGGAAAGTCTGCTGTCAGGGACCTCTCCAGAGTTCTTTGTTAGTCTGGAGACCAAGGTGTGCCTGATACAGGCCATGGTCCTCACAACTACTTGCTGTGCATCTGAGAGCTGGAAATGGGATAAAGTCTGTCGGAGATGATGAGATTGGCTCAGAAGAGGACAGGGTTCAGAGTCAATATACTTAGGGTTGCAATGAGTCACAGGTGACTTGATGGCACATACAACACCAACACATTTCATTGGGAAGTCTGCAGTCAGTTATTGCTTCACAGTAATTTGGATGTCAGTTTGAGGACCAAGGTTCACCTCGATCACCTGCCATGCATCTGAGAGCTGAACAATGACCAAGAGTGACAGAAGAAGAATCAATGCCCTTGAACCTGGAGAAGAGTACTGAACATCCCATAGACTGGTAAAAGAACAAATAAATATGCCCTGGAGAAAGTGCAGCCAGCGTCCTTCCAGGAGGCAAAGCTTCTTCTCACATACTTCAGGTATGTCACCAGGAGAGGTTACTCCCTGGAAAGGGACATCATGCTTGAAATGGTGGTGGTCCAGTGAAGGAAAGGAAGACCTCAACCAGATGAATAAACACAGTGACTGCCACAATGGGCTCCAGTGTGACAGGAAGTGTGAGGATGGGACAGGATACAACTGGGTTCAGATCTGTTGGTCATGTACTTGACTTATTGGCACCTAACAACAACTGTGCCTTGATTTATTATATCCTGCCCATGCCAGTAGGTGGAGTATTGTCACTGACTTCTCAGACTACCCTTACATCCACAGTGGGAGCTGCAGGAGCTAGTAGAGAAGGTGCAGCTTATACAAACTAGGTGACTTTTCATTTGCTGAATACTATGTCTTGTTATTTTTGGCAGTGACATTTTGAGTGCCTTCCAACCTGAGGTGCTCATTGGTACTACAACCAAAACATGTTCTTTAATGATCTATAGGGCTTTCAACATTCTAGCATTAGTTCAGAAGTAGATGTCCAATCATGCTTTTTAGTCTGTCTTAGTCTGAAGGCTGCACGGAATCCTGCCCACCATGGATGATCTTGCTGGTATGGGCAATACTAATGGCATAGATTCCAGCACCACACAAGCCATCACGGGACTGCAAACTGACAGGTGACTGTGGTTGAGCAGCCTTTTCAATGTTGTTGTTGTTGTTATGTGCCATAGAGTCAACAATGACTCACAGCAACCCTATAAATAATGGCTCTGAACCCTGCCCTATCCCAAGCTAACCTCAAATCTCTAACACACTGACCCCACTGCCACAGTAATGGTGTGAATCCATCTCATCCAGGGTCTTCCTCTCCCATGCTGTTCCCCCATCCTTTCAAGCAAAAGGTCCCTCCCCAAGGACCAGTCCTTCCCAGAAACATGCTCAAAGTCTGTGAGACAGAGTTTCAAAATCCCTGCCTTTAAGTAGCAGCCTGGCTTTACTATCTCCAGGAAAGACCCACTGTTCTCCTGGCAGTTCATGGAATATTCAGCCTCACAACTCAAAGGCATTCATTCTTCACCATCATTCCCGGTCACTGTGCAGCTCTCAGATGCATAGCAAGCAACAAAGACTAGGGCCTGGATCAGACACACCTTAATCTTCGAACTGACATCATTGCTCTTCAACACTCCGGAGAGATCCCTGATAGGAGAACTTCCCAGTGCAACTTAGCTTCTGAGATCCTAGCTGATAGTGCCAAGAATACTGAGTACAGATCATCTAAGCAATAGGAAATAATGAACAATCTCAATCCTTTCTTTGTCCATCACATCACCCACTGGCCCAGTGGTGAGGATCTTTGCTTTCTTGATATTGAGATGCAACCCACATTTAAAGGCTGCAGTCCTTGACTACTGCAGCAAACACCTCAAGTCTTTCTTAGTTTCAGTGAGCAAGGCGGTGTTATCTGCATAATGCAAATTGTTTATAAGTCTTCCTTCAATTGTGATGCCACATTCTTCTTCATAAAAAGCTGGAGTCAGAAAGTCAAAAGGGAAGAGAGAACTCACTTGGCATCTCTAAAGTGGAAGGAACAGAAGAACAAACCCAAGCCTTGAGTTGCAGTACTTAAAGAGTCTATATTCTACTTACAAGGTAGAGTCTACAATAATGATGCAGATGCCCATTTTTTAGTTTTGCTCTAATCTTCATCTATCCTCAGCAGAAATATCACACCTGGATTCACTGTGTATCCAAAAGTCCACAGGGTGTCAGGGTGAAAGAAGCTTGCATATCCTTAACCTAGTGGTTTCAAGGTGTGTTCTACAGAGCTTCAGGCCAGAGCTTCCCAAAGTCTGATCCTTGATACCTGCATTAAAAATCCTACTGTCCTACCCACCACCCCAAGTCTGTTAAAAGGGAAGATGCCTGGGTGCCAGCCCAGAGACACTAACTCAATTTCTAGGGAGTCCTCAGAGTTCCATTGGAAGTTTTGGACATTCTACTCTAAATAAAACTATTAAACATCCAAAGAGAAGTCCTACATGTTGCAAGTGATTAAGTGCTCAACTAATAACCAGAAGGTTAGTAGTTCAAATTTACCCAGAGTTGCCTTGAAAGAAAGGCCTTGGGATTTACTCCCAGAAGGTCACAGCCTTTGAGAACCCTATGGAGCACCAGTTCTATTCTGACACACGTGAGGTCTCCACAACTCAGAATTCATTTGACATAACAGGTTAGGTCTTATGTTAGTGTATCCTAAGATGCCAATTCTACTTCTAAAAAGTGGTTTGAAAGCAATTGCTTTAATACAGATTTTCTAATGCATTTATGAATTGTTGAGTAAAGTGTAAAGAAACTACTTCATTTGTTTAAATAACATAACTAATTAGGGCAAAAATCTTAAAATGTTCAACTTCAAGTTTAATGTTATTGAGGCAAAGGTGAAACTCTCAGCTCATCCAGGTTTCTGTTTCCTGCCCTTTCTCCATGGAACTCATTCTGCTCTGCATCCATCAGCCATTGTCACCCTTGGACTCTCTCCAAGTGACATAATCCTGTGAGGACAAACCCAAGCCCAGCCTTCTAATTACAAGACGTAGAAGAAAATTCCAAAGCTGATACATGGTGGTAAAACAAACCCTATTCTCTGAATGGGGCATCAAGCAGTGAGTGTGCCAGCATGGCCATTCCTGTAAAGATTTTTTTAATAAAAATTATTTTATATTGACATGTATATAAAATTTGTATACATTTTGCTTCACACTATTCTTCATACACACTGTAGTTCATACAATCGTTCCCATTTATAGTGTTCTGTAAAATTAATCACCACTGAAATATGTCCACCATTATCCCATCTTTTTAGATGCCCACCAGAAATGGGAAAGATTTCTTTCCAAGCCCTGGCCAGGTACAGTGTGACTGCACTGTGAACACCAGCCTTGAGCATTGGAGAAAGGAAGAACTTCTGAGAATGCTTGCTTCTGCTGTTGCAGTTTTCTTTCTCCCAAGTTCATTCTGTAACTTAAACCTGGATAGTAAAATCATAGCTAGGCCTAGTGAAAAGGAACGTTATGCAAAAGCACAGATCTGAAAGAATTTTAATAACTAGGTTGCAACTGAATATCCTAAAATATTAGAGAAGACTTTGAAACTACTTATTCCAAGGGACTTCACCAGCCAGATTCCTCTTGGTTTTCACTAGTCCAAATGCTTAACAAACTTTCCTTTCATATGGAATGGCAACACTAAACTTTAACCAACTCCTTCTTGTAATATAAATCAAAGATTATTTAGTATATTTTTGTGCATACTTTCTATAGCTTAGGATAACATGACAAATCCAGAAAGATTCATTCATTCATTCATTTTTGCCCATTTACACTTATTAAAAATTCTAATTCCTCAGTACAGGATATCATTGTGCTTTTTGCTTTCTTAATATGCCAATGTTCTTAGGACATACCAAGTTTTTCCACTTGCTACTGTTTAATGTGTCTTGGAGAGGGTGAAGCTGGAATGCTCTTTGGAGGAAAGAATGATGGGGTTTCATCTCACCCACTTTGGGAATGTTGCTAGGAGGGGCTATTCCTTGGAGAGGGACATGATAACTGGAAGGATGGAGGGCCAGTGAAGGAAAAGAATACCCTCTACCAGGTAGACTGACATGATGACTGCCACAATGGGCTTTTATGTGTCAGGAAGTGTGAGGATGGCATAGGATACAATAGGGTTCAGATCTTTTTTTTCATACAGTCACTATGAGTGGTATTTGACTCAAAGGCACCTAACAACAGCAACAGCAGCAGCAGCAACAACAACAACAACAACAAGAGCTTCATGGTCTTCTCTGCTCTGTGAATGGATTTCTCTTTATCATCCCAATCTAAACAAAATAGCTGTTTTCCCTGAAGAGGGCCTGGAATATGTATTTAGTCACCTCCATGAATAATTACCTCTTTTTTTTAGGCGACAAGACAGACTAGATGGTCCTCAACTACTATTGCTTAAGGATTTTATAGAAGATTTTATAGAAGAATCTTGCTCAAAATGCAGAGCAGGATTGAATATGCAAACCTTCTATATCCTGAGAAGTTGGATAACCTATTCGCTAATAATATCTATAATTTTGAGGAAATCCTTAAACCTTAAATGAAAACTATCCCCTGAAGCCAGTTTTAAATCAAGCAGTAGACTCAAGCTCAAATGCATAGTTGATCCTTTGCACAGGAGGAGACTGTCTATTTTACTCCCATGAAACCACCGATGTTTTTAAACAGCCAGAAAGGCACCATCTTTGTGTGAACAACACAACTTCCTAGAGACTGCATCACCAGTGTCCACCTCGTACATCTTCCAGATTAAATTGAAAACAGCAGTGTGAGAAGCTTAGAGGGCAGTGAGCTTTGCTGATGGTAAAATTCAGAAAAGGGTCTTGTGAAAGGTGGAATAACTTGAAGAATGTAACCAGTATCACTAATTTGTTCATGTGGAAATTTCTGAAGTGGTGTATGTTTTACTGTGTATGCCTTCATTTTTTTAAAAAAAGTGTATGGCTTTTGTACTACGCAAAACCAAACCAAATCCACTGCCACTGAGTTGATTCCAACTCATAGCACCTATCTGAGAGAGAGAGAGACAGAGAGAGAGAGAGCAGAACTGCCCCAAGGGGTTTACAAAGCTATAAATCTGTATGGAAGCAGACTGTCTTCTTTTTCTCTCACAGCTGGACGGTTCAAACTGCCAGGCTTTTGGTTAGCAGCTGAATGCTTTAACCGTAGCACCATCAGAGCGTCTGTTCAGACAATCTTAAGCAAACAGGTCACTTTGTCCAAAAGGCTTTCCCAGATCATACAATGTAAAGTAGACTCTCCCCCCATGTCAGACACTCTATTCCATTCTCCATTTTATTTGATTCATGGTATTTCTTTTTCACAAGTTGAAACAGACTCAATGGTAACATCTTTGTGTTTTTAATCTGATGTTTATCTTACACCTGTAACTACTAATTTACTCACATAATTATTATCACATATTTCCACTCTCAAAATGTAGCTCTTAACACTGTCTTTCTGTCCTATGTACCACATCAGCCTCTGTGCCTAGATCAGTCCCTGACACAGTGAGGCCAATTGTCCTGGAATCAGTTCTAGTTCATGGGGACACTATGTGTGTCAGAGCACATCTGTGCTCTGGGTTTTCAAAGGTGTAGATTTGGAGTCTTTCTTCTTAGGTACCCCTGAATGCACTAAAACTTGAGCTTTTTAGTTACAGCTAGGTGAGGTAACTGTGTATACCGCCTAAGGAGTAGTAGAAGCCCAATGACTTGCTGAAGGAAAGAATAAAATACCTTTATATTCTAATAATAAAATATTTCTATTTATATATTCTAATAATAAAATCTCTTTATATTCTAATTTCTTCACTTCCTCTAGCTCTTGACCTCACAACAAATACCAACGGAATTCTAAATGTTCACTTTTCTTCTCACTCTGATTTCAAGTTTCCAAGAGTGTATTCAACGAGAGCTCTCTCTCTAGCCTTCTCTCTCTCTCTCGCTCTCACTCTCTCTCTCACTCACTCTCTCTCAGCTGTTTTAAACACAAACTCTCAATGAGACACCCCCACCACCACCATCAAGTATTCAGGGCAGGAGGAGTTGACAGGATTTGACACAAGAAGCAGTGAGCCCATGATCACAGGGGGCAGAGGTCTTACCAAATGACCACACATCTGACTTGCTGCTGTAGCGACTGAAGGAGAAAACCTCCGGGGATGCCCACTTGACTGGGAACTTTGTGCCTGTGGAACTGGTGTACTGATCATCCAGGACAAACCTGGGCAAGAGAGCAAAAGGAGGTCAAAACGCTGGGGGCCTGAATCTCATTCCTACATCCTTGTTGGTCTGAAGCCATTTATTACCTTGTCATCCCAAAATCAGACACCTTGATGACTTGGTTTTCTCCCACCAGACAATTTCGGGCAGCCTGGAGAGGAAAGAGGCAAATAAAAGTGAGAGGAAAAGTGTTGGTGGATAATCAGTAATTAAGGAATCCTCTATAATAATAGTCCTTTCCCTTTCTATGTGCTATTGCACAAAGGCCTCAAGAAGCTTCACAAACATTAATTAAGCTTCTCTGGTGTCTCCTGGAAGTTAGTTAGTTGAAAAGTTTAATGTGTCAGAGGCTTTGTCAATACACGTAAGTTTTGTCTTTCATCTTTGTTTCTGGAGTCCTTATTAGAAGAAGGAAGTTTTAGGTAGTTTTTAGGGATTTTTGTTTCTAATGTAACTAGATGAGGTAGAAAATGCTAACATTAAGAATGATGTGAAGAAAGTGTTCCCATATGACTAAAATAAAAATGTTATTGTTGTGTATCGACAAGTTGGGACCAAATCATAGCTGACCCTCCAGTGGACTTTCAGGGGCAATGAGTCACACTGGAGTTGATTGCCTATCTTTCCCCGTGGAGTGCCTAGTGGATTTGAACTGCATGCCTTTGGGTTGACAGTCAATGGGCGGTTATTAGTTTGCTTAAAATTGTCCTATGACAGAGAGACCACCTGGCCTCTGCTTAGTATCACAGAATGTTCCACTGGATGAGTCCTCAAGAGAGGACTGAACAGCAGGGATTGGGGTGGCAGGTGACATTGGGCTGATAATGAAAGATAGGTCAGCAGTTTGAATCCATCAGTCGCTCCACAGGAGGAAGATGAGGAGTCTCCTCCTGATAAGGTCTACGGTCTCAGAAAACTAACGTAGGGCCACTGTGAGTCAGAATAAACTTCTAAAAGTTTGATTTGGCTCCATAAATTAGCTTGGGACACACGTCAAAATGGATATTCTTGACTCCCACCGTCAGTATCGTGAGGGGGATTTGAGAGCCATTCAAACATAATTTTGAGAATCCTTCTGAGAAGCCCTTTGAGAAAAAGAGAGTGTGTCCATTCCTCTTCATTTACAGGGAGAAACTGCTAGCTCTATTCTGGAAACATATAAACTCAGAGTGTGACAGGGGCCATCCACAGTAGGAAGTGAGTCTGCGAGTAGGGTCCAGATCCAAGCTCTCATGCTGAGCCTTCAAACTAACCAGTTAACCAGTTGCATTGAGTCAACTTATCTCATGGCGACCCAGAAGTATCAGAGTTGAGCTGTGCTCCATGGAGCCGCCTGAATATTTCAGAAGTAGATGCCAAGTCTACCTTTGCTGATGTCTCTGAGTGCACTCACAGCTCCAAACTCTCAGTTAGTGACCAAATACATTAACCATTTGACCCCTTCTCTGTCCGCCAGGGGCTTTCCACTTTCTCAGTGGAACTGCCCAAAGTGTGCTGAGGAAGAAAGAAGTGAGAGGAAAGAGAAATGGCCTGCGTCTTGTTATTTATCAACACCACCGTGGCATGAGTAGCCTGCATGCCTACAGGTCCTGCAGCCTCTCACCAGGTCTCGGTGGATGACACACGCGTCTTCCAGGTAGGCCATGCCTTCACACACGTCCAGGCACATGCCCAGGAGGGTCTCCGCTGCAAAAACCCCCCGCTGGCTGCGCAGGTAATCCGACAGACAGCCGTGCTCCATGAACTCAAACACCAGGCAGATGGGGGCCTGCTCCAGGCACACCCCATAGAGCTGAACAAGTTTGGGGTGAGAGAGTTTCCTGGAGAAAAAAAAAGAATGAGATAACGCAAACCCAATCTAAAAATGCTGATAGTTTTATACATTCAGGTCACTTCACTCAATTCATGGTTTAAGAAACAATGTCCATTACCTAAATGAAAACCAAAATATATTTGATAGTGTTTATTGGAATTCAGTAATTAAAGGAGTGGTTTAGTGCTTTGTATGTCATGGGACTGATCATTATCAGTAAAACATATTCTATTTATAATATTAA